CATCAATTTCTGTGACGAAGAGAAAAAAAATGCACCATGAAGACGCAAAAAACTACTTTTGGGGAAAAATGAGCTCGTATTGATCTGCGTAAATTTTAAGCAAACACTTACATGCAGTCTCTAAAGGCTTTTTTGAGCATGGGGAACCTCTGGTATATACCGTTAGGTTTGGTGTAAATCTTAACGAGCAGTGTAGACGTGCCATACAAAAGCTCACATTAGGCAAACTGAAAGTGAAATCTTTCTGGAGGAAGTCTTGGGCTGAAATCCTCTGTGTGTAAATACAGCTGCAGGCAGCGATCACGAGGAAATTGGACAACAACGCTGTAACAATCTATATTTTAATGTGAAACACTGACCTCTATTTTTTTGTTGTCAGGTTAATTATAAGATTCAAATGTATTACAAACTATGTTGTTGGTTTTTGATTTCTCTCTAGGAAGAGTTCAATAACATCCTGAAGGAAGCTGGAAACAAGCTGGTGGTGGTGGACTTCACAGCCACTTGGTGTGGCCCCTGCCGAATGATTGCCCCAGCGTATGAGGTACATGCTGTCAAAACTAAAACGACTCCGAACTCTTGCATCTGCATGATGATCTGTGCTTCCACAATTGATGAGAATCTCTTTCTTTCTGTCCCTCACACATTACAATAACCTGTATATTGGGATGGCTCATGAGCCAGAGGAGTCACTATGGTACTAATGCTCTAGTCCCAGAGTCGACTGTCCCCACTCTTAGCATCATTTTGACCCCTTTGCTCCAATAACCGCAGCAATGCTAAAGATGGCATTTCTTCAATAAGTTACGTTGTGAATTTTTTTTCAGCTATAAGTTAGATTTGACACATTAAGAAATTACTATTAAGATGAAAAACAACCCACATTTTTTTATGGCACAAGAGAACAAATTCAGACTTTTATTTTAGATGTTTCCCCTTTTGATCCTTCATAAGTGTGACGTGGCAGCAGATGAACTGTACAAGTTTGCATGTTGACTCACTGATCTTCTCTCCTGCAG